CCCAAGTCAGCTTCTGCTGAAACTGACCAGCGCTGACTACAGGAAGCCCCAGGCAGAGTTGCTCTGCCCCAGGCTTCCTGGAATCAGCTGCTGATCAGTTTCAGCAGCAGCTGACTTGGGGACGCCTGGGGTTCTTAAGTTGATTCTGTATGTAAGTCAGAACTGGCGGTCAGTTTCAGCAGTGTCTGAATCTGGACGCCAGTTCCGACTTACATACAGATTCAACTTAAGAACAAACCTACAGTCCCTATCTTGTACGTAACCCGGGGACTGCCTGTATAGGAAGGGCAGCTGTATCTAGGAGGCATAAAATGAAATGAAGAAAGGGGGGAGTTAGGTTAAATGTAAGGAAGATGCTAGTGACAGTGAGACGTACGTGGCTGTGGAGAACACTCACGAAAGGGCAGAAACATCATCATTTGGCAAATTTTAAATCAGATTAGAGAGGCCACTAGAAAATATCCTGCATGGAGTAACCTGCCTCCGCCCCTGGGAGATGGGCTCAGTGGGAGCAAAAGGAGCTTTCCCATTTTTAAAAGGCAAAAGTCTCTAGTTTTCAGCTGATCCTGATAAATAAATCTCCCAGACACATCCCCTCTGGCAGTCCCGCCTCTTCCAGCGTTTGTTATGATCAGTTACGCTTATTGTGGCTTGGAGTATAAACTGGAGGCCCAGGGACGTGCCAGCCATTTGCTAATGTGGCTTTCAGGTCACTCTGCCATGGTCTGGAGGATCCTTCCTGCTTCTGGAAGGCTCCCTCTGGCTGTTTTGGGGAGTGCAAAGTTGAGCCACTCCTATTGTGCATAACACATCACTAGGGCCCTACCAAATTCACAGCCATGAAAAATGCATCATGGGCTGTGAAATCTGTGTGCAGGTGGAATGGGGGAGACCGGTATTTCTCAAATTGGGGGTGTTAGCCTTACGGGGAGTTGCCACGGGAACCACAGGGTTATTTTAAGGGGATTCACAATGTTGCCACCTTTACTTCTGTGCTTTCAGAGCTGGGCGGCCTGAGAATTAGGGATGTTAAATTTCAATGAATCAGCTAATCGAGTAGTCGATGGAATTTCCATCCACTGCTTGATTAGTTGATAAGAGGGAGGTGGAGCGCTCACTATCCCAGCTGCACCTCTGCCTTTGAAATGTGTCAAGAGCTCCGTGGGGCTCTTGTTACATTTCAAAGGCATAGGCACAGCAGTTGGGACCCAGTGCAAGCAGTCCCTGCTCGTGACATTTCTCCACTGTGCCTCTGCTTCCCCTGTCCTCCCCATGGAGACGGTGCTGGGGAGAACCATCCGTTAAGATGGCTCCTGCCCCCCGCTTGCTGCCCTTCTTTGATAGCAGCACCAACGGGGGAGGGCGGGGGGAAGGGGAGCAACTAGTCGAGTCATTATTTGACTACCCAATACGCATATGCCTTTCAGATAGCCAACTAGTCCCTTACATCCCTACTGAGAATAGTGACTGTTGGTCAGGTTCCTGGCTCCGAAGGCAGGAGTGCAGAAGTAATGGCAAGGCATGGAATTACCACCCTTCTTTCTTCTCTGCCTTCACGGTGGGGCTCTCGACCAGCAGTCACTGCTCTCTACTCACCCAGCTCTGAATGCGACGCCACTGCCAGCAGCAGTGTAGAAGTAAGGGCAGCAGTACCATGACCCCCCTCCAATAATCTTGTGACGCTCTCAGCTTCTTTTGGGGTTAGGATTCCTACAATTCCACACCATGACATTTCAGATTGCTACATTTCAGCTGAAATAGCTGACCAGAATGGATGGTGATTTTGGTTGTTGTGGTAAAGGAGCATTCTTTAAATTTGCCACTAGGTGGCACTAAAATACAAATTAATCACTGCTCAGTTCACCCCTTCCTGTTGGGAATTAATGGTGAGCTCCCCTCCACGGGGCTCCAAAAGGCAGCATGTGCTTTGCAGGTTCTCTTGGGCTGTGCCTTCCGAGGTTCAAACAACGAGACCCTTGAGAGTGAGGAGAAAATGGATCCTCTCCTCCCCAAGTAAAGCTGAGTGAGATGCTGGTTTCCCAGCGGTGCCTGATGAATCTGTCTCTCTTTCGCTTTGCAGAGGAGAAGTGGAGCATGGTGCAGATTGTGATTTCCAGGTGAGTTTGGCACGACTCCTTCCTGTACTAGCGTGAGGAATGGAGGAGCTGTTCATTTCTGAGCTAGCTTGTGTCTCTGGCGTCCGAACACCCCTTCAGCAAGGCCCTAGGGCAGTGTCTAAACCAGGTATCGAGCGGAGAGCTAATGGCCCAGGTTCACAGGCTTGCTATATATTTGTGTAGTGCAGCGTTTCCCAAACAATGTTCCGTGGAACCCCTTAGGGTTCCGCCAAGTGAAAATAAGGGTTCCGCGAGAAAAATCCATGACAACATTTTATGATTTTAAAAATAATTAAGCATTTTAATTTTATTATTAATTTTATTTCAAGTGTCCCTGTGTAATGCCAGCTTAGCCAGAGAGTGGCGACGATGATGTCACTACTCAGCACTGTTGTCCATAGATTAGACTGTTAGGGATTCCGCACAACTCTTTTGAGTTTAAAAGGGTTCCATGGCTAAATAAAATTGGGAAAAACTAGTGTAGTGGATAGGGCTATCAAGCAATTATCTTTTCTAATCACAATTAATCACACTTAATAATAGAATACCATCTATATAAACATTGTGGATTTTTGTACATTTTCAAATATATTAATTTAAATTATAGCAGAATACAAAGTGCCCAGTGTTCACTTTATATTTTATTATAAACAAAACAATGTAAAACTTTAGAGCCTACGAGTCCACTCAGTCCTACTTCTTGTTCAGCCAATCGCTCAAACAGAAATTTGAAGAGAGAATGTTGCCCTCTTTTTGTTTACAATGTCACCTGAAAGAGAAAATAGGTGTTCATTTGGCACTGTTGTAGCTGGCATTGCGAGATATTTATGTGCCAGATGTGCAAAGATTCAAATGTCCCTTCATGGTTCAACTTCTGTTGCAGAGGACACGTGTCCATGCCAATGATGGGTTCTGCGTGATAATGGTTCAAAGCAGTGCAGACCAATGAACGTGAGTCAGATGCCACCAGCAGAAGGCTGACTGTCGTTTCTGGTGGTTCAGGGTCTGTAGCTTTTTGCATCAGAGTGTTACTCTTTTAAGACTTGAAAGACTTTTCCACAGCTCCTTTCTCTAAGATTTTGGAATGCGCATCAGGTTCTTACACCTTGGTTCAAGTGCTGTAGCTATCTTTCAAAATCTCACATTAGTACTAGGAATGTAAGGGTACGTTTACACTTGCTCCTTAGTTTGAACGAGGGATGCAAATGTAGCCGACTGAAATTGCTAATGAAGTGGGGATTTAAATATCCCTTGCTTCATTAGCATAATCTTGCCCATGCGCTATTCCGCTCGCCAGCTGATTCGAACCAGGAAGTGCGCTCCGGGAAGTGTTAGTTCAAATCAAACCCCTTAGTTCGAACTAACGTTACTCCTCAAAAAATGAGGAGTAACGTTAGGAGTTTGATTCAAACTGCTGCATGCTGGAGTGCACTTCCTGGTTCGAATCAGCTGGCGAGCAGAATAGCGCATGGGCGAGATTATGCTAATGAAGCAAGGGATATTTAAATCCCCACTTCATTAGCAATTTCAGTCGGCTACATTTGCATCCCTAGTTCGATCTAGGGAGCAAGTGTAGACGTACCCTCGGAAGTGTAACTGTTTTAATGGTTAACTGATAAGCATCAGCTTATTGATTTCCATTACGGTTACACTCTTTGCCAGCTGCCAGCCCTCCTCCTGGGATCTGCACTGTGGGAGCTGCAGTATAGAGCCAGGAGCTGGCTTCGAGTATAAGAACTTTCTTTTACAGCATAACTTGGCTCTTGGCCTCCCTCCTGGGGAGCCAGCTGCACTGCTGGCTGCGTGGTATAAGCCTTCTACTGCAGAGCCCGCAGCACACATAGTCACTTGGATATTTACCGGTTATACGGTTACTTTAACGGTTTTTTTACATCCCTACTTAGTGCTGCCTTTTGTTTTGTCAGAAAGCGGGGAAGGCGAAGCAGGAGACATCTGTGACTAAACTGAACGAGAAGTAGGACTGAGTGGATTTATAGGTTCTACAGTTTTACCCCACTTTGGTTTTGAGTGCAGTTCTTCTTCAACCCTTGTACTCCAAGTGGAGCATAGGTCATCTACAAGTCTCCTCCACTTCACTCTGTCATGAGACAAAACTTCTAGCTGACTCCAGGTGTACCCCAGTTGTCTTTCAGTCTCTGTTGATCTTCTCCACGTTGTCCGAGTGCAGTTAGGTAACAAAAAGCCTGCATTTGTAGATTACACTCTTATGCTAAAGCGATTGCACTACCGTACTTGTATGAGGTGAAACAAAATTATTTTCTCATAGTGTTTACAGTGCACATATTTGCAATATAAATGTGGTGAGCTCTGCATACTTCTGTGTTGTGGACGAGTATCAATACATTTCAATTAATTATTTTTAACAGTGTGATTAAAATGGCGATTAATTATTTTTAGTTAATTGCATGAGTTAACTGAGATTAATCAACAGCCCTAGCAATGAAGACTCTGTCTGGACATCTGCCTCCTGGCCCCAGAACATTGTAACCCCCAGCCCTTTGCTTTCAGGGATGGGGCTGATGGCTTGGCGGAGTGGGTGCTGATGGAGCTGCAGGGAGAGATTGAGGCTCGCTGCAGCACCGGACTGGCTGGGAACCTTCTGGGAGACTTGCATTACACCCGCGAGGTGAGGGAGCTTTCCTTACCTTCCTGGCAGGCTTGGGAGGCTTCTGCCAGGTGTCCATCCATCGTGGCAGGTTGGAGGAGGCTGTAGGGAGCCTGGTCCCTGCAGGGGTCTCACGCTGTGCCTGTTCTCTCTTCTCTCCAAGGGGGTCCCTGTGCTCATTGTGGGGCATCACATTCTGTATGGGAAGGTAGTGCACCTGGAGAAGCCCTTCGCCGTCCTCACCAAGCGCGGTGCCCGTGACCACGGCTCCCCGGGGGCAGCTGCCCAGTATCTGGTGACCGCGCTGATCAAGACCAAGCTCCTCTTCAAAACTCGCCCCAAACCCATCATCACCAGCGTGCCCAAGAAAGTATGAAAGAACCCCGGCTGCACAGCAGAGAGCGTCCCGCCCCCTGGACACGAGCCCAGCTCCAGTCCCGAGGACGGGGGGCTGGACCCATAGGGGCAAACTCAGCTCCCTTGCCAAGAGCAGCTGGGCCCCCGGGCATGAACTCAATGCCCTTCCCGAGAGCATCTGGACTCCTGGGCATGAGCCCAGTGCCCATCCTGAGAGGGGTGGGACTCCCGAACATGAGCCAGGCTCCCCTCCCGAGGCCTGGTGGCATCTTGGGTATAACTCCAGCCCCTGTGCCAGGGGGGGCCGCGTCCTTGGGCCATAGCATGAGGGGGAGCGGAGCACAAGAGAGAGACAGTGCTGGCTCCCATCCCTAGGGCAGGGGGTCTCCTTGGGCCACGCCCAGACCCATTCTCAGGAGTGCTTAGACCCCAAGACACAAGTCCCGCTGCCTTCCCCAGGGCAGGGGGCCTGCTGGGCAGTAGCCCAGCTCCCATCCCCAGGAGCACTGGGGGCCTGGGCCCAAGCCCAGCTACACGCCCCAGGGCAGGGGGCCTGCTGGGCACGAGCCCAGCTACACTGCCACGAGCTGGTGGCCTCCTGGGTCCTGTCCCAATGGCCACCAGAGCCCTGGGCCCCAGCCTGCCTCCCATCCCTAATGTAGGTGGCCTCCTGGGCCCCAGACCGCTTCCCCCCTCAATGGCGACGGGAGCCCTGGGCCCCAGGCCGGCTCCTGGTCCGGTGGGGACTGGAGCCCTGGGCCCCAGGCCGGCTCCTGGTCCGGTGTGACTGGAACCCTGGGCCCCAGGCCAGCTCCTGGTCCCGGTCCCATGGTGACTGGAACCCTGGGCCCCAGGCCAGCTCCTGGTCCCGGTCCCATGGTGACTGGAACCCTGGGCCCCAGGCCAGCTCCTGGTCCCGGTCCCATGGTGACTGGAACCCTGGGCCCCAGGCCAGCTCCTGGTCCCGGTCCCATGGTGACTGGAACCCTGGGCCCCAGGCCAGCTCCTGGTCCCGGTCCCATGGTGACTGGAACCCTGGGCCCCAGGCCAGCTCCTGGTCCCGGTCCCATGGTGACTGGAACCCTGGGCCCCAGGCCAGCTCCTGGTCCTGGTCCCATGGTGACCAGAGCCTTGGGCCCCAGACCGGCAACGACTGGAGTCCTGGGCCTCAGACCGGCTCCCACCTCAGTGGCGACCGCCGTCCTGGGCTCCAGACTGGCTCCCATCACAAGGGCAAGTGGCCTCCTGGGCCCAAGCCCAGCTCCTGTCTCCTCCTTGCCAAGGTCAGCGGGCTCCTTGGCCACGAGACCAGCTGACCCCCTAGCTAGGAATCCCTTCGCCTTCCCAAGGGAAGCGGGACCCTCGAGTGCAGCCCCGGGCGCTGGGCTTGGCTCCCCCGTGGCCATGAACCTGGCTCCCAGCCCAAGGGCCAGTGGCCTCCTAGGCATGAGCCCAGCTCCCGTTCCCAGAACAGTGGGCTCCCTGCACCCTAGTTCTGCTGGGTCCCTGGCCATGAACACAGCTCCCCTCCCCCGAGGGCCAGTCCTGCTGGACACTAGACCCACTGGCCCCTTGGCTCACGCTCCCTTCCTCAAGGCTGGTCCCCAGAGCATGAACTTGACGTCCTTCCCCAGGGGGAGTGAGCCCCAGAGCAGGAACCCAGCCCCCTTCTCCAAGGTTGCTGGCCCTCTTGGGCCCTACCAGGCTCCCGTGCTGAGGGCAGCCAGCCCCCTGGCTGTGAACCCGGCTGTGCTCTTCGCCAATGGGACCCTGCCCTCTCCAGTGACCAGCACAGCCAGGCTGCGGTGGTCCTGATTCTCACCGGGCCTGCCCTGGCCCTGTCTCAGCCTTTCCTGAGGCCCGACTGTGAGCACGCCTGGAGGCAGCAGCCCCTCGGCTCCCAGCTGGTTTTGTGACTCTCCTCGGGGGGCGCAGCAGCCCCGGCCCTGCCTCTTGCCCCCACAGCCGGGAGCCCCCATCCTCCACCCGGCAGTCGTGCCCAGGCCTGGCACAGTGGCCAAGGTTAGTGCTTGGTGTGCTGTCCCACTGCCCGTCTCCTGTGGCAGCCCGGCCTCGGCCAGCAGGGACAGGCCACGCCAGCCCGACCCCTCTCGCTGCAGCAGGGGGCGGGGAGGGGAGGAAGCAGCACTGCAGGGCTGGTGGCAGGAGCATAGGCTGAGGGGGCCTGCTTCTCAGTGACATGGCCCTGGGGTTCCCCAGAGAGGCCCCACACAGAGAGAGGACTGTGTGCAAATCTCTTTATTGTGACAAATCCATTGGAATTATAAAACCAGCCCTTTTAAAAACAATGAAAAACGCAGGTAAAAAATAAATAGATTTACAAACAACGGTACCAGTCGGTGTCAGTACAAAGAGACAAAAGTCGCCTAAAAACCGTGTATTAAATAACCCCCGAACCGTCCCCGCAGTAAGGCTCAGGCCCAGGGGGACAGCTGCGGCCCAGCCAGGAGCCAGACCCAACAAAACATGGCAGGGGTGGTGCCCCAGGCCCAGAACGGGGCACGTGCCAGGGCCCTGCTCAGGCTTCCACATATGCTAAGGGAGGCTGCCGCCCTGCAGGGAGAGCCCTCGGCCCACGGTTGGGGCCCTCTGGCAGGAAGCGCAGAGGGCTAGGACAAGAGCAAAGCAGCCATGGCTAGCGCCAGGAGCAGGACAAGGCAAGCAGCTCGCTGGCATGGGGGAATCCGGCCACTGAGACAAGCAGCAGGGCCCAGCCCTCAGCACCTGCCTGTCTAGCAGCCTGGTTCCATGGCAGGTGAGTCTCCGCTGAGGCCGCTTAGGCATTTCCATTAACTGGCCCTGGGGCCCAGCCCAGGAGCCAGGCGGCCAAACACTTCATGCCAGCGGCCCTCTGAGCCCAGCCCAGCCCCCTGGCCTTTGTGAATGGGAGGGGCAGGAAGACCCCGGCTTCCCCAGCAAGGTCCCTGCCCCCAGGCACTACTGAACTCTCCCCACAGCACCTGAGCTAGGGGAACTCCCGGCCCCAGGGCAGTAGCGCTGCAGGGACTGGAGCCAACAAGCAGAGGCACCCTCCGGGCAGTTGGCAGCCAGCAGTGCCGAGGGGCAGGCGTGGCGTGTGCGGGAAGGGGCTGGTGTCCCCTTGGCTCAGGAGCATGCAGCTCACAATGGGTCTTGGCTACCAGCGCCCTGCGAGCCCTGCAGAGGGGAGGCCAGGCCAGGCCAGGCCAGGCCCCCGCCCAGCACGGGGGGGGGGCTCTCCGGCTTTGGCAAAGGGGGCACCGTGGCCGCTTCTCCCTCACCGGCCAAGCGCAAACCCTGCCCACGCCCCCCGGGCCCAGGGAGTGGAAGTGGGTGAGCCTACCTTGCTGTGTTCCGGCACCGGGCCACACCCTCCTGGCTGTGCTCCGCCTGCCTTTGCCCCCTGCCACCGAGCACCCAGCTGTGCAGTGCGTCGGCACCTTGTCCTCACACCGCGCTGGAGCAAGGGCTCAGGAGAACGGCCAGGGCGGGGCACCAGAGCGGCTGTGGGGCTCGGATTCGGAGTCTAGCACAGCTGAAGAAACTGAACTGAGCTGTGCCCAGAAGAGGGAGCCCGTAACTGGCTCCCAGAGGGCCACGTCTCCCCAGCACAGCTGGGAAAGGGCTCACCCAGGTCTGCAGGCCTCACTGCGGCACCAGGGCGCCTGCTGCCAGGCCGTGCTGCCTGCTCGTGCACAAGTGGTGGAGGCAGGGCAGGCCTGTGCTGAACAGCCTCGCCCTTCCTGGGAGGGAGGGAGCAGCAGCCCCAGGCCTGGCACCCGTGTGCCATGGGCAGCATGTGCCTGCCCGGCTCAGCCAGGAGGGGAGCAGTGAACAGCCTCTCTGTGCCCCCCCTCCCATGCCTAGCACCAGCCTTGCCTAGCTCCACTGCCCAGCTGCGCCCACCTGGGCCAGCTGGGGCTGGAGGAAGCTCAGAGCCACGTGGCCTCCCTGCAGCCGCTCCCCTTTCCGCCTTTGCCCACAGCTGCTGGCGTGGGCTTGCGAGCCCTGGCTATGCTGATGGGCAGAGGCAGCCAGAGGCCCCAGGCTCCCAGACCTGTGGCAGGGCCGCCCGGGGAGGGGGGGTTGGTGCTCCGTGGCACTGGTGCAGCAGGGGCCAAAGCAGAGGGGCGGGGCCAGCCAGAGGCCCCAGGCTCCCAAACCTGTGGCAGGGCTGCCGTGCGAGGAGGGGTTGGTGCTCCGTGGCACTGGTGCAGCTGGGGCCAAAGCAGGAGCCCTGTTGTCTCAGCCGTGGGGGGCCGAGAGCCCAGGCCAGCCCCGCTGCGTGGAACGGAGGCCCCGGGCAGACGGGACGGAAGCGCAGCAGCCCACAGCACCGGCCCCGACCGCTGCTCAGCCATGCCCCCTATGGGGGGACAGGCGCGTTTGGGCCCCAGGGGGAGCAGGATGCAGTGCCTGGCTGGGGGAACCGCTTCAGAGCCGCAAAGAACGGTCCAGTCCAACGGCCAAGTGCTGCCGGCTGCGTCCTCCTGCGGAGGCTCCTTCCCCTGCCCTTGGCAGCGGAGACCTCTCCCCTCACCCCAGTGTCCTTAGCAAAGCCCCACAGCCTGCGCCCCCCCCGCCTCGGGGGGACAGACGGGGATTCCCCCTAGATCACAGCATTAAATCGCAGCGGGGAGAATCCAAGGGAACCTTCCTGGAGCATTTTCCCGCCCGGGGGCAGGGCCCGCCTGAGGTAAAGCACAAGGGAGAGGGAGCTGGCCGCCTGCCCAGCACAGCTTCGCCCGCGGGGCAGGTGGAACTTGCCTGGGACCTGAGCACCCCGCCCCCCGGAGCCAGGCTCCATGGCCAGGGGCAAGGCTGGCCCC